TTCTACTGACTTGAAGTTGTTCATCTTTCCTCTTTCCTCTGTTTTCCGTTGCATACCCAATAAGCAAGTCCGGTAAAACATATCGGGTTGACTACCCCGTATCTATCACAATGCCGGTGACCGAGTGTATCACGACCAATGCGAGCACCAATACATTTACTGTATATACCATGGCGTGAATGCGATTGCATGTGTAACAACGATGAGCTTCTGCAATCACCCGCATGTTTCGGGGTGTGTGCAGATGCTCAATGATATTGGTAAGAATACTAATCTATGATGCTTCAATATGCGGATTACTTGAACAAGCTACCTACATGCGTGGGTTTTACATTATCGGAAGGTTGACTATGCTACGGCAGCGATTGTCTATAAAGAAACAAAGAGGTGTATTTCTCCTAACTTCGTAAGCCTCGCAGCGTTGCGTCTGGTATTCCATGTAACTCGTGTTGTACGAGCATACAGCTGGATCCGAGGTCCTGTATTCTCGGGAGAACGCGTAACTGAACCCCCGAACTTGCGTGATACTAACTGTCCTAGTTCTCAAAAGTGGAAAAGGCAGATGGAGATAGAGAGGCTGCGGATTTGATGGTTCGCAACGTCCTAGTTGTGAAGGTGCGGTCGGATCAATTGGGTGCCTGACAGCTCTCCACTCCGCTGTCTCAGTACTTGCTGGGTACTTGCAAACTGCAGCCGGGGAGTGAGAAGAGGAGGTAGAGAACCAGTACCCACGCTCTGGGAAACCTGTAGTAACCCGCAGCAAGTGGATACTCCTTAAGCTTAGCGTGTAACCCGACAAAGCCTTTGAGGGCATGGATGCCATTGTACTCCGTACAATCTTCAAATTCGAGTAACAGTCAGACAGTTGATTGGACTCAGATGTGGCTGTGCGAAGGATTGGAAGTTGGGGAGCAGCTCTGATGGAGATAACTGGATAACACATCTTCTGGCCCCTCGCACAACATATCCAGGTTGCACATTTAGAAACGTTTTTGGTGTTTCCTTCTTGAGACCTGTCATGTACCACAGCATACCCGCATTGAGGGCGTGACAGATGCATTCACGAATTCTAGTGAATTGTACAAGACTAGCTCTGTAGTAACACCATACTGTGCCCCTACCTAGGGGTAGAAATCGACTGCTCGTATACGCCGTTCCCGGTGGTATCAGCAATCACCCATCTTATCGCTGCGATTGACTGTGTGGAGGCTGCAGGTGTATCACAAAGATTTCAGGCCCTTGCATATCTGCATGTAGCCAAAAAAACACGGTCGCCAACCTATTATCTTGAGATGTTGACGTGCGACGTTACTCGTGATACTCATGGTTATTTGGAATTATCAATAGGGCTCACAACATCACGGCTGATTGCCCGAATATGATTAGAAAGGATAATTTACTTGATAAACGAGTTTGCTGTTTGTGTCCTTTGATCTGATGTTGATATGAAGTCGTTGTAGATCGTGGGGTCAAGTCTTGGTACGGCCCGCCGAAGCCTCCACTGACGGTCCGCCCCACCATCACCTCAGTGGAGTAGACCGCCGCATGGCAGTGATTCGGCCCCACTTAAGTGAGTCTTGAGTCTTCAGCAGTTCATTGTTGACGCTCCCACGAGCCACAGTTCATCAAGCCACAATCCTTCCGTGTTTGCGACCCTTGTACTGCTCCAGCTGGTGCTCATCCTACCACCATCGCCCCAACAGAAGAATGTGTTCAACAGACACGTCACCAACCGATCTTTCCCTCTTTTCCAAACTCCAATCTACTCCCATGAAACCCCCCAACTTCTTGTTTCAAGATCATATAGCCCGGTTTGAACCGGCCAGTGTCATCTCATCATGATCGGCACATCATTCGGTGAATGGGTCTTTATCCGTTTATCCATCGCCTTCTTCCGCTATACGCCGCTAATTTACATCTTTCTCATCTTATTCCTCCCTCTCGTCCAACCTGTATCCGTCGTCTTTCCATTTGTGTGTGTTCTGCTAGCAGCGTTGCTCGCAGAAGTGGTGTTCTATCTATTTATATATAGACCATATCTACAGCGGCTCAAACGGGATGCAGACCACCCACCAGCGCTATCGCGCCAAGACCGAAATGCCCTTTTTGAGCGATGTTTCGGAAATGTGCCGTCTTTGGAGATTTATCTGAGATGGTGGTTTCTTGATGCGGATCCCAACGAGATACGGAGGGAGAATGTGAGAGAGTTTATGTTGTGGGCTTTCTTTGAGAGGGGGCATGGTTCAGGGTTTGGAGATGATGAGGAGACGGTCGAGGAAGAAGTTGAGCACTTTCTGAGCCTTGTTGAACAACGACTCGGTCGAAAATTCGAGGAAGGATGGGGCAACGTCAAGAGTCTTCGTCTCACGATTGATGGTATCATGACAACCTATCGAAGTCTTGTTTGGTATATTATCGTTTTCTTCCTTGACCAGGCTACCCATTTTGCCTTTCGCTGGCACGGGTTCGACTTCCACCGCCGACCTCGCTCTTCTGCTCTTCGTGTATTCCCCCCACGGCCCCAAGAGCTGTTCCCTGGACCCAAATCTCCGTCCACACGGTTGAGTTATTGGCACCGCCCTCATACAGCTGAAGACAAGCTTCCTGTTGTCTTCTTTCACGGTATCGGAATCGGATTATGGACATATGTTCGTTTTCTGGCAGGTCTTCACAAGACTGGTGACGGAAACGGAAGTGTCGGTGTCATCGCCCTCGAGATATTACCCATCTCATTCCGCCTTACCCCAGCTATTCTCGACAAGGCTGAGTTCCTGGCTCATATGACATCCATCCTGGAACACCACTGCTGGCACAAATTTGCCCTGGTATCACACTCCTACGGATCAGTCCTAACAACTCACATGCTCCACGAACCAAGCTTCCAACATCGTGTGCCCTCGGTTGTCCTCATCGACCCGGTGACCATCATGCTACATCTTCCCGAAGTGGCGTACAATTTCACTCGAAGACAGCCCAGGAGGGCAAATGAATGGCAACTGTGGTATTTCGCTAGCACTGACCCAGGTGTTGCACTTTGTCTGGGGAGACATTTCTTCTGGCGTGAGAATATCCTTTGGAAAGAAGATTTGTTAGGAACTCAAAGTGACGGCCATCCTGCGAGGCACGTTGCAGTTACGCTGTCTGGCCGCGACCTCATAGTCGACACTACAGCAGTTGCAGAATATCTGGGCGTTGATCTTGGTAATGGCCGTAGTGGCATGGTAGCAGAATCGCACAATGGCGTTGAAGTAGTTATGTTTCCGAAACTAGACCACGCACAAGTGTTTGATGACCGTGTAAGTAGAGAGTCGGTGATTCAGATGGTTAGATCGAGATGCGCAAGTTAGTGGATGGTGTCTCAGGAATAGCCGATGAAATAGATCGATATAATAATGAAACTGCGTCGTCTTTTGCTTCAATTCTTTGACTGGATCACATCGCCGCCCCATTCTGTCAAGTCTGCGCGGATGGGAGTTGAGCCGCTTTGGATCATGAGCCATTGGACATCTTCATCTGTGTCGTTCTTGACCTGATGTTCGATCCAGGCGGGGACAAAGGCAAAGTCTCCGGGTGCAAGATCATGGTGTTTCAATTCAGAGTTGACAGCCTCATTCACGATGAGAACGCCGTTTCCTGAGACGGCGTATATGATGGTATCTATAAACTCATAATCAGCATCTGTAAGTAGTAAACAGGTTCAAGGAGCTTACCTTGTTCACTGTTATGTCTAACTGTAGACTTGGAATGCGGTCGCGTCGTGAGAACTGACGTGTGAGCGATAAGGTTGAGACATAGATCTTAGATAACTTGACCTACCAGTTACGCACATATTGTCGCACTTTCCGACAACAGCAGGACGTTCAATAACAGGGCCTTCGACAGTAGGATGCGTTGGTTCAAGCTGTTTGGCGCGGGTGATGTTGGCAGAGGCGGGCATTATCATCGGAAGGATTTCCGAGATAAGCGGTAACAGCGAGCTCATCATTGGCGAGGTTGGAGAAGTTCACAATAGTCAACAGAAGATGCGCAGTTGTATCAAAAGTAAAGTCACAAAGAGACGAAGATGTATGGTAGAGCAAAGCGACGTGACGTGGGCGGCGAAAGACGAAGATATTCCCAACGGGAGATGACGTCGCTAGAATGATAATTGGCTAAGAGAACAAGTCTGCCAGTAACACAAGAGACTTCGAGGTCCAATGAATGAGGTTTTGGATGATGTACTATTGAGCGATGAGAGAGAAGCGCGTGACCTGATGATTTGGGGGTAGATTTGGAGTTTCGAACCCGAGGGGAGAGGTGAGGACAGCGACAGCGACAGCCCAGGCGTTAGGCCTCAAGCGGCCCAGCCACCGAGGCTAGTGGCGCAAGAGTTTCCCTAACGAGGATGGAGAATGATAATGCATGTTGATTGATGAACATGGGTTGATTGAGTATCTAGGTCTGATGTGATCTGAAATATCATATAGTTTTACTTTATCTACTGTTCTCTGTTATTTTCTATTGTGACTTGATTGCCGCTGTTTAAGTAGACAAATGCTCCGTATGTCGGCGACTGATTGATTGATCATCTCCCCCACTTCCCGTATGAATCCATCTCTAGCAGGGAGGGCAATGTCGTCAACGAAATATCCCGATAACTACAACAAAAGCTATAACAAAAACATCTTCCTCCAACTCCTTTGTGACCTAAATTGTTAATTCGTATTTCTCCATCTCATGACCTGATCAGAATCGAGTGGTTCCGTTCTAGAGTCGGCATCTCCTGCGGCTGAACTCCGCTTAGCTGCATTAACTCGACTTCCCCCATCATCATCACCGCTGAAGCTGCAAGTCCAGACCCTCTGGACCATCCACCCTCGACTCATCAGCTCGCCACCCCTGCCTGCTTTGCTTTGGACCCCGATCTGATAAAACCAAGGTATATCCAGCATTTTATCTGATTGAACTCATATGAGATAGGAACAGCCTCTTTAACTTGACTTCTCAGGAGACGCCACAACATGTCCTCCAGTCAACCCCAATCACCACTGTCTGAGCCATCATCAGATCCATACCCCAGGCCTCCTCCTCTTCTTCTAAACCTCCCTCCTGAACTCATAGACAACATTCTTTCTCATCTTTCGCCCTACGGCCTCTCCGCTATATCCGCTACATGTCGAGATCTGCATAAGCACGCTCTCTCAGATGTCCTCTGGTACCCCCTCGTTCAAGAAAACGTCCCAGGCGTCACTCTCACAAGCCCCCAGCCCTGCAACAGCTATCATGAGCTTTACGTCGCTCACGATCGTCTCTGGTTCCTCCCTAGACAGAAAATCTGGTTCTGCGATAGAGATCTTACTGGAAGACTCATGATTGTTCGCTATGATCCTCGGCGGGGTTGCATCGAGGGCTATCAATTACTCGCCAGTAGAGACCGGCAAATACAGCAAAGCTTCATCGGACAAGGCGACGTTTTGATCCATGAGTTTGATCCCAAGGTCAAACTTCATCTTGATAAGCCTGTGCTGCAGTTTCGCGTGGGAGAGCGAGCTCCGGAGGATTTTCTGAGTCGGCCTGGTGCCAATCGCTTCGCTGATGAGATGCCCGTGACTCTGGATGACAGGATCGATGCTCTGTTTAGCAACTTCATGCTAACATGCGAGCTCGATCAAGAAGAAGCCCAACAAAATCTCAACTCGCGTTTTCCATACGGCAATATCTGGCCACCGCCTCACATCCCTTCAGACCACCATGTCTCAGGTAGCAGCACGCAAGTAACATCAGAGGGCATCTTTGTGAAGACACCATCGTCTCGACCTCAGCGCCGCGAAGAAGTATCAGAGCGATTCTTCCGCATTCGCCAATGGATGGAAATGGCGGGCGGGTTATCCCGAATCGGTATGGCAGCTGGTTTGGGTGGGATATACAATATGCTAAGATTATCACGCACCGCAGTCGACGGCGGAATGCCCAACGTTCACGTCGGCGAGGAGCTCATCACGTACTCCACCCTCGATCCGAAGTTATACATGCCGACTGTGCTAAAGCCGTGGAGGGGAATCTGGGTTGGCGATTACAGTACCCATGGATGCGAGTTCTTGCTTATACATCAACCTGACGATGAGACGAGCGCTACGGACGAAGAACTTGGTCTTGTGAGACGAAATTCCGAGGCTGATGAAGAGTGGGAGGCGAGACGGACTGAAGGACGGACGTTTCAGGGACGGCTGGAGGCTATTAAATTAACGGGTGATCCCAATGTTCCACGGGGAGAAATCACGTTTGTAGCTGATGACATTGGGCCCGACGGTGTCGTAGACGGTCCACCAGTAGATCCCTGCTTCCAGGGAATGAGAGTGGTTCACAGCAAAGGACATATTGCAAATACCGGATTCGCCTCAGGTAAGTCCCCTTGTTTCACTGAGTCGAGGCCTCGAAATGAGCTTGCACTGACGAAGACAGACCGATATATTGAGAGCCAACTTATATTCGTAAGTCACGATCGGCTTGCGCAGCACTGGGTTGGGTTTGGACATATAAACTACTTTCAGAGGGTGGACATTGATGAGCTCCTCAAGGTGTAATGTTATCTTGAGAATGGAAATGAGATGACACTCAATGCAGTCAATTTCAATGTTTGAAGCAGAAGTTACGGCTTTGATGTAATGATGCATGACTAAACTATGCTTGAATTGAGAAGCCGTGGGGTGAAAACTGCGTCTTGGTTCCGGCATTAATGCGTTGTCAGACACAGAGTTTTGCATACTCCGAGTGTCCCAACAACCTCTCTGATTTAAAGCATTTAAATCACAGGCAGATAGTGAAGTAGATACCGATTTTAATTCACGTTGTAATGTCATTCTAGGCCGTTCAAGTGCAAATTGTCAACTTTTCATTTCCAAGCTGCCTACCCTAAGGTGAGCACTTGGGTAAAACCATGATGGAGCCCAACTTTGATGCCATGTATTTCAAAGGGTATCAAGGAATATTCCAATACGCGAAAAACCATCGGATTCAAGCTGGATCGTACGTTCGTGATCATGATTTGCATAGATCATTGGCGCCTTGTATCGCCCTCGCTCACTCAGGCTGTTCCCTGTCCTGCAAGGGTCCATGTGGGCTCGAGGCCCGAAGCCGTGGACGTACGCATGGCTCACTTCAGAGAGCTGCTGTTGTTCATTTTTCGTTCTCATGTCTTCGATTACTTGGACTTGTTCTTCTGAGCCTGAGCCTGCTCGTAGATCCAGTCGTTAAGACCAGCACGGTTTCTACACCCCATTAGTCTCTACTCTCATCATCCCAGCACATCAAAAACTTGCCGTGCAATCTCAAGAGCGTAAAACTGCACACGAGGCACGAAAATCGTGGTATCCTCCTCATACTCGACGTCGGGTCTATCGCGCACCATGGTACCAAAGTTGTAATCGTCGACCTTCTTCTCATACGCCATCATGAACTTTCGCCAGCGCTCCTTGCCGGCCTTGCTCTTCATCTCGTCCTCGTCGACCTTTGCAGCGGGGTCGAACTCGGGGAAGTCGGTCTTGAGGTGCTCCATGATCTCGTCGTCGATCTTTGTCAGGCGGAGGGATGAGCCCTTGACGCGCTCGAGGATGGACCAGTAGGTCTGCATGTGCTGGACGACCTTGACGGCGAATTGCTTCTCGATCTGGTAACTGTTAGGAGGGTTGTTTCAGATCGTGGGGTAGGTAGGGTGCGTACGTCTTCGTTGTTCTGGGCGTTCTCGGCGTCAAAGTTCTTAGGCACGGGGGCGCCGGCCATGTTGTCGAGGGGATCCATGGCGAATGTGTGTTTGTTCGTCGGGATTTACTTGGTGGTTGTGTATGTGAAGACAAAAGCTGCAGTTGGGCAAAAACTCGAACGTGGGGCAATGATGATGGAGGGGCAGCCACAAAAAGACATGGCGGCATGATATCAGCGCATAGTGTTTGCGCTTGTTAGCACTGCTTGTCTGCACGGTGCATCTGGTGCCTGCTGGCACATGGTGGACATATCTCGTGATGACTACAGTCTACCTATCAAACACATTGCTGTCTTTCCAAAGCTTTCTTCTTGTGTTTGATGCCTTGAGTCATATGACTCACGCGGGTGTTGTTGCTTGCTGATGGCACTGTGGCGATTGTCTAGCCCTACAATACAAAACACTTACACCAATTTATTACCTACTTAGTACCCTGGCCTATCGAGATTTACTAGTCGAACTCATGTCGAAACGCCTATCTTCCCTGTCGTTCTGCATGAGATCATCTTGGTCCCAGAAACATTTAGTACGGTAACACTCTACAGGAAATAAACATTGCATTAACTGATACTGGGCCTCAATACAGAATAATAGGTAAGTTCGAAAGATATTGATAATTATATGGGCCTTGACGCGTTAGTGTTTATATAAGGTAGATTGCAGGGGCATACCTCTCTAATTAAAGGGACTTACAGCTAAGTGGTAAGTACAGTACGTTAAGAGATACCTATCTCAAGACCCCAAGCGACAAATCAGAATATCCCAAAAGGTAGGATTAGCCTCTATTCAGCCTCTTAGAAATTCAGTAGCAGCCTATATAACTACAGTACAGGACTACAATAGTACTGTACATTTCTAGCCCCCGCAGCCTGTAGGTAAACGGCTAACAGTGCTAATAGCTATCAGAAGCAGCAGACTCAATAACAATGTTTCACCATGCTCTATTGATATGCCAGTGGAGTTACAGACCATATTCTCCATCTGGCTACGAGATATATAAACCCCAAGGCTTCCCTGTGAGCTTGTCTTCCACAACAAACTCACGTCTTCCAAAGCTTCAGAGTGTGAGAACAAAGACACGATGGACCAACAAAACATGTTGGAAATGAATATTTCCATGCTGATTCGCCTTGTGCAAATGATAAGTACCCATTGAACTCGGTATAACTTGATTGCTGATTAGCTTTCTAGATGCTGCATATAGTACGAGAGCAGAATACTCAGATCCGAGGCCTGGCACGGCGAGTCCAGGACCTCGCAAGTCAGGTGTAGCAAGTCTCTATCAACCAAAGCGTTATCTAGTATGGCCTCTGGGCGCAACGGGAATCATACATCTATGCTGCACGGCATTTGCGACCAAAATACAACAATTAACGCCCTGATACGGCAAGTCTAGGATCTGGCAAGTCAGATATAGTAGGACTCCCTTACAATAAAGTTTATATATATAATACTAATATAATTTCTAGCCAGACGATATCAGAGCTTAGCTGGATGCTGGGAGCGAAGCTTTGAAGGAGCGTCTGATGAGACCGCAGACACACTCCTTCACAGCCGCCGACTGTCCTCTTTCCCTGCAAGGAATGCCTCGACCAGCCCCTCAACTACGGTCGTCCTCTCGAGTGCACCTCATACCCGGCACTCGCCTCTCATGCAAGCGATGTTCGAAAGTGAAATCCAGTTGTACCCAGTTGGACAACTTGTTTGCCACCAGCCCGGGCTTGCGCCGGCTCTACCGCGAGATAAAGAAGACCACCGACAACTGCGACCAGGAAGTTCAAGGCCACCAAGCACACGAAACATTCCACTTGTTCAACAAGCTATCTATCTTTCATCGTTACCCTCCTCCTCCTAAGAGAAAAACACCTTTCAAACCGAGACAACGAAGACTTATCAAGCCCTGTCACCAGACTGTATCAGCCGCAAACAGCCTGACAGCAAATGCATTCTACAAGATAAGATCTTGATACGTACCCACAGCAGAATCGACAGCCCACCAGCTCAAGATGCTGAGACGTCCAAAACAAAAGATACACTTGAAAATCACAGACCACGTCGACGCAAAAGAGCTAAAGGAGTTCCTCGTTACGCAGATGAAGACCCCAGAGGTCATGGAAATAGCCGGCAAGGATGCCATGACTCACGAAAATCTCTGTACGACGATGGCCCTTCAATTCCATATGGGCAGACTCTTATCGGATATCGGACCTGTTTCTGACTTGGAGCTCCTTGAGATCACGCGTCGGTACCATGTAGGAGAGGACATTTGCCGATAACACGATCTAGGCCCTCCGTGCCCATCAGGTCTACCCCAAGCTTCTCCTTATTAACCAGATTATATATTTAACCAAACTTTTCAAGGAAGCACTGCCGTATGTTCCAGCTATGCAGAAACACTAGGCACTCGATCCCAGGCACTCTTCATTTGAAGGAGTCGGCTCACTGAAACGAATTGAAGAGCAAGCACAATTTACCACCAGATACTAATGTGGTAGCCATCAACGCCCATCTTGGTCGAGAGCCAGGTCCCGCTGTCGACACCGAGTATTTCGACTTTGATGACTATCGTGCTTGCCTTGCTGTGAGCAAGAGCTGGAAGGCAAAGTTCGGAATGAAAGGGGCAATGGCTTAAGCTCTACATGCCTTCTTCCCTGTAGGGGAGGATCTTGAAGTACCTGTCCACTATGGAGATGATCTAGATCCCGACTATGTGCCGGTGCAAATGTCTCTGAGCCTTCGCCAGCGTGTCGGCATAGCTATCAGCTTATCCTCAAAGAAGGGCATCGGATGTTACTATGGATGCAAGACGAAGTCCCAGCCTGCTGAACCAGGACTCAAAACAAAACTTCTCAAAAGAAGAGGCAGTCTATGGGATGTGAAACAAAACTAGATACCACCAAGGCCCCATGTGAAGGATCATTGCCATCGGTCCTATTTCCAGGATAAGACGCTTATAGATGTGAGTTCGACGAGCACCTTTTAGGGAATGACGAACTGACTTGAGCAGAATATTGACGTTTCAACTATGGAGAATGTCACGTTCAAGGACGACGAGACCCTTCTGATCATATTGAAGATTTACAGACTTCGCAACCGTCATATAAATGTACCACCAGATAAAAGAAACAAGACAGAGCTGCAGTGGATTCAGCAACCATGTTTCACCTCAACGCTTCCGCCGTGAGATCCGGGATGGCCATGTTCATCTTGTCAATGGACGGGATGTTCTGGGCCCCGATGGTGGTTCTAACTCTGTCGGCAATGCTGGCGGAAATGTCGGCGGCAACTGAGTTGATCCGTTGAAGTGGAATACCCTATTACGTGGCAAGCGGCGGCCCAATACCAACGCCAGGGAAGGAAGCCAAAGTGCCTGGTGTCGAAGGAACCTACGCCGCTATCATCGACAATCCGGAGAGCCCCATGGAAGTCTACAAGATGATGCCGCGCGGTAAACTTAGTATCATCGTTGCTGTGCCCCCGAACGGGTCAGAGGTCAGCATGACCTCTACCGAAATCCCATGGTCTGTCTTCAAGGCGTAAGGCCGATGCCATACCCCCCGAGCGATTGACATCTTGTTATCTGAACTACACCCAAACCTCTACTGGCCAAACATCCGTTGTATATTGCCATCATCGCAAGTACCAGGGCCGCAAAGGCGAGAGAAAAAAAAGGCGGACACCTGTGCCTCCTCTACCCTCCAAGTCTGATCCTAAGAATTAGGAGGAGAAGGCCAAGGATAAGTCGTCACACAACTTTATCAATATTCGCCGACTACCCGCCCCAGAGTAGATGGCAAAGTTGAGTGTGAATCACATTAACCATCTGCTCCAGAACCGAGCCGATGGAGTCTTGGTATGATTTGGCAACAATTGAAAAGAAATGCCTCCAAATGTCGAAATACAAATACTCGGTTCTTTGCCATCTCCGAGTCTTGGGCATCAGCTTATGTAAGCCAAGAACTTATACCTAGGTATAAGAGGTCGGTCCAGTTCTCCCCCTTCTCAATCGACCACTCCAACTTGTATCTTTACATTCCGGTTGTATAATTCTATATCCTTCTCCGAGCCTTTGGAGATCTGGACTTGGAGGGACTTGATATCTCCCAACTGATCATCAGTTACTCGGGGGTAACACAGAAGCCCAGATCCCACCATGCTTCAGCCAACTTTGTTCCCCTTTCTTCCATGTTGGCTTTCGAGCAAAGCCCAGCTTCTGCAGTGTACAGACTAACAAATTTGCATCAGTAATTTATAAGTGCATGTTTTCAAAGGACTTACATTAATAATTATGGCACGGAATTTAAGCCATAGCCGACGAAACAATATATCAAGAAGCGATAAGCTGCTAGAGGGTATCATAGGAATAGGTAACCTGGTAAGAGATTGTAACACTCAAAGTCAAGAATAAAAACCCACAATCCCCCACCCACCACAGTATATTTTAATAGTGAACTCCCTTTATACACATAAATTTGTCGACGGTAATACATAGCTCTAAAAAATACGCATTGCTTCAGAATCTGGCTGACTTGGGAGATTGGAAAGCGCAGTAAATATACACTTCTTGCAAATACAGTTGTGCTCGTTCTTGCTAACAATCACACAAAGTCAATCGTGTACCGCCTGCAAGCTGATTGAGTTTTACTTGAATTGGTCCTGTTACAAGTTTTGTAACAAACTTTAGCAAGAAAACTCTGCTGATATATCTATAAATGTAACAGTGTTTGTCCTTCGCATGCTCTTTATTTACCAAGCGGGTCTCTCTCTACATGCAAGTAAACACAATGACGTTAGCGGGGTAAAGTACCTCGGCCTACGACACCAATATCAACATCACGACATTCTTGCTTGGGCCCTTCAACCCTTGGATCGTTCACTTCTTTTCCCCTAATCTTGGCTTTACAAGAAAAAATAGAATCGTAGAGCCAAACACAACTTTCAGAAGTGAAATTTATCATGGCTCCATCACTTCTTCTCTTACCGTCTCCTCCCCGCCCTCCATCTCCATCAACACTCTCAGCGGCCTATCGCTCACCATTAACATCTGTTCTCACGAAACTCAAAAAATCACCCACTCCCCAGACTCTCATTGTCGGCCTCGCACTTCCTCTTCTCAGCGGCTCGTCACCCAAGTCAAAGACAATCGCATGGACAAACGCTCGATACCTTCTCGCTGGGCTTTACACTCTTACATGCGTCATCTGCGCCAAAGAGAACATTCCCATTGACGTCGGCGCCGGAAAAGGGAGTGTGGATGTCCGAATTGTTCTCATCGACCATGAGAGGGGAAGACGCTACGAGCCAGACTTTGACGGCGGTTTTGAGGCGAACTGTACCGCTGTGTTGGATCTAGCTGCGTTTGCGACAAAGGTTCGACCATTGGAAGCTGTTTACCATCCAAGCTGTGAAGAGGGGTATGAGCTACTCTCTTCGTTTCTCAAACTTTCGGAGAAGAAGCAAACATTTACTCAGAGCCAACTCGTTGCTATTGAAGGGGGAATCAGCTTGACGGCGGAACCAGCTTTGTCGCCAAAAGAACAACAGAAGGGCTTCAACACTGTTTGCCTAGGAGGCACGTTTGATCATCTCCACCCAGGTCACAAGCTATTGCTTCATGCAAGCGTTCTCCTTCTCAACATCCCACCAAAAGACTCCGATAAGACATGCACTCTCATTGTGGGTATCTCGAGCGACGAGCTTCTCGTCAAGAAGAAATACGCTGAAGAGCTTCAATCATGGGATGAGCGCTCACAGACCGTTCTCTCATTCCTCTCCACGCTTGTCGACTACGACACAACATCTACGTCACCACCAATAGAGCGCACACCTGACGAAGCGCTTGCCTTTCTACGCGACGGAAGAGTCAAGGTGCGATGTATTATACTTCGCGATCCATTTGGCCCACCAATCCACGAAGAAGATGCCGACGCAATTGTTGTTTCTGCAGAGACACGTAGTGGAGGCAAAGCAATCAATGATCGCAGGGTTCAGAAGGGATGGAAGCCGCTCGAAGTGTTTGAGATTGATGTTCTGGATGCTGAAGAGGTTGGAGATGGGGAAGTGAATAAGACGGATGATTTTGCGACAAAGATTAGTAGCACTGCGATTAGACAGCAGAGGGCTGAAGCAAAGAGATAGTAATATTAGTAGAATAGTTACTGTTAAACTGTTAATTAAGATTATTCCTTGAGGCAATTTCTGCCTATCTAGGTAGCTTAGAAAAGAGAGGTAATTAATTATATAACTTTTTTATTTTAAAAAAAGGGTTTTAAAAACCTTTTTTTTAAAAAAAAATTAAAAATTATATAAAAATATTTAAAATTAAGTAATATTATTTAAATAAATAAA